AGAAGAATAGTTTAAATGCAATCAGAAAAGCCACCATTTACCCATAGAGTGATAGCTCTTTTTGGCAACAAAAGCAGAATATTGCAATACAAAATTGCCCAATTAAAAAAAATAAAAATATTTCACTGTATATAAGTCCAATTAGAATCTCATGCAAGATGTCTTCAAATAGTCCAGCTAAAAGTTTCTTTACTCGGTTTCGGTTATTGACTTCCGTACAAGTTCTTTCAATATGAAATGCACTGAGGAACAGAACAAGATAAACATATTCAATGGAGAAAATTCAAAAACAAAGTGCCTCAGAATATGAAGAGCTTATCCTCAACTTCAAGTTGGACAAGTGATGTATTGACATTCAAAGGCGGTAAAATGATAAAAATACACTTCCCCTTCATCAATATCTTCAGTCATTGCCTTTCAACATAAGTTTGAGAAGTGACAGTAAGAGAGTTTGTCTCTGGTGGTACCACTTCCATTTTTGGGTGAGACATCTTAGTTTCAATTTCCAATCACGACAAGGGTGGTTGGAAAGATGGTTCTATTTACTAAGTTACCATGTGCAGGAGATGCAGAATATCTAATACATGCTTCCAAATTAACCAAATTAACCAAATTAAAAAACTTAGACAAGTTGCTCTTAGAAAGATGGTTCGATCTAATCAGTTACCATGTACAGGAGATAGAGAATATCTAATACATACTTCCAAAACTGAATTATACAGAAAATTCCTCAGTCGTGCATGTATTCAACCTTAAGTGCAATTTGTAAATAATTAACTTCTTTGTTACAAAAAGTCAAACATTGAAAATATTGGTGCAAAACAAAGACCTTGATAGGGTCCAAAAAATCTGTGCACATCCCGTCTTCATGTAAAAGAAAACCAGAATTTCACTGTGTGTAAAATACCTAATAAGGAAACTAATAAGTAGCCTCACTTGAACTTTTAAAATTTTAAATTTCACTACCAGAATTTCCAAAATGCTATATAAAGTTCAGAAATTTGATAAAATTACAATAATTGCTATATATCTGAATGTCAGGTACTTCTGACATGTAGCCAATGAAGGTGAGTGCAAGAATGAGAAGAAAAATGGTTAGATCGAAGAGAAAAGAAAAGGAAAGAGTAAAGGAGGATGGTAGGAAGAACTGTAATGCAAAGTTGTTCCTGTTATTCTCATGAGTTCCTTCTAGAATAGGCTAGTAAAAATGTTGTTACTATCATCTTAGGGCTACCATGCAATCTTAAACATTATCAAGAAAAACTTGAGCCACTTTTGAAGCAGTAAAGGAGTGCTTCAGGGTTATAAAGTGAACATATTCGGCCATAAGATTCACCACCACTAAGACGGTATCCTTATCTGCCGATTTGGGCAACTACTCAATAAAAGCCATTGATATGTATGTCCTAGCTCGTTCTGATGAATGAAGTGGTCATAATAACCACGGTAGTTGAACTTTTTCCATAGTACACCTTTAACACATCTTACAGTTTTGCACTTGTTTCACCACATCTTTCTTAGCCAGGCCATAGAAAATATTGTTTCAAGCATACTAAGTGCCTCTGATTCCCAAATGACCTCCTATA